CTGTCCCAAGGAGTTAAGCTGCACCTTGGCATTCTTCATAGATGGAGTGGCCTTTAAACTGGTGAACTGACAACTGTTGGAATCTGCTAGATGGAAGGAACATGCAAAAACAAAATGTTGCTTTGGGCTACCCAAGTCTGTCTGGCTCAGGGGAGCAGGTTGCTGAGTGCTCCTCTTGACCACAGATAAGGTGAGTAGAGGGATGATACCCAGGGCCCAGATCCAGATGCAGAAGCTTCTGGGGTCCCATCTTACTATGGTTTCAGTCTATGGCTCATGACCTGTCCTTGGACCAGCCGGTCCAAAAGAGAGCCCAGATGTTGCCAAGAACCACTCAACAAGCAAAAACTACCCTCTCAAGGCACAGGAAAAAGTTAATCTAATGGCCTCTTAAAGCTGAAAATGACTCGCAGGCCAAAGATATTTACAATCTTGTCACACAGAAGAGTGCCTGACACTGTTGTGGGCAGTGATAGGTTATAGAGCCAAACCTCTGTCTGTTTTTCTGTCACTTTGATGACAGATCTTGAGAGCCAGGCACAGATGCAGACAATGAAGAATTCCAACCCCAAAGGACCATCACAGGCTGAACAACGTGACACAGGTAGAGACTGTATCTGTCAAGGAGGTTTGAAGACTACAGACTCAGAACTCTGACCCCAGAATCCTCTTCTCTCCTTGCATAGTTCCCCATGGTGCTTCTTTAAAAAGGGGGAGAGGAAGCAAAGGAAGTGAGGGTGAACTTCAGTCTCTATCTGCCTCTCTTCTCAGTTGCAGGCTATCTCTTTGGTAAAGAAGAGGTAGAGAAAAGAAATGCCTATTTTTAAAAAAGATAAGTGGCTGGGAATTTATTATCACAGAGATTTTTAAAAAGACCCAAAGGAATATGAGATAGAGGTAGAAGGTGGATAGAAGAAGAAAAAGGAGGGGAAAAAAGAAAAACGTAATTTGAGACTGTCAAAGCAAGAGACTTCGTGGGTGGGCGGAAAGTGAAGCTAGAAAGGGAAGAGAGAATACTGGCTTGTGGGAACTTTAGAAAAAGAATATGCCCAGAGAGAGGGGTCCAGATTAAGAGTGTCCAGAAAAGCCTGTTTCCCAAACTGAGCAAGCCTACCCCAGTGCAGATCTTGACTCCCACCTGCTTAAGGACCACCCTCTCCCATGGGCTTGTGTGTATTTTCAAGAAGAGAGGGAGACCGCCGTTAGGAAGCTTACTTGGTGTGCACTGCTGTCTTGTTAGGCAAGAGAAGAAGGCTGGAGAGAAACACTGCTTTAGAGCCATAGTGAAAACCATCAGTGATTTATCTCTTGCCCTGCCTTCCAACTAAACCTTCCCAGCTATTTCATGGTTGTACTTTGAAGGCATTTTATCCATACTTTCCTAAGAACAAACATTATGCAACATTGCCCCATAGGCATCGAGACTTTTCATCCCTTTCCCCTCATCACAGTTAAGTCACTGTGTAAAAGACTTATTAGAATGTGGGAAACTTCTAGCTCATGATCACAACCACCTGGTAATCAGGAACAAGTTACTTCCCAAAGCCATGAGTCTTGCCATGATGGAAACTGGTTGTGGTCTTGCTGCATTGTGCCCCCTTTCCCATGATCTTCCCCTTCTATTCCTCTCCTTGCTCAAGGACCAGCGCCAAACTCCAATTTCTGCTGAGCAGAAGGAGCTCTGATCCCCACCTCGACGCCTCAGGCCACATCACTCTCACTGCAGTACTTTCTGTCTTTTTTGGTAATTATCTGTGTACATGCCTGCTTGCTTCTGGACACTGCAGACTGGTAATTACTTTCCTCAGGGCATAGCAAGCATTGTCCTCTCCTAACAGGTGCTGAATACATGGGAGCCAAGGACCGATGCATGAATATACACACTCACATCTCCCCTGAGGGACTAGCACCACTGCTGCAGGGCTGAGGTTCTCTCTCTTCTCTGTAAGATCCTGCAGCATTCCAAGGAATATACATTTTCCTTCCCTTTGATGAAAGTGAATTTATTTTGTGTATCCAATTTTGACAGAACCAAAGCATAGGCTGATGATGCTGTCAAGTTCTATTAAATATTACTAATGTCTTACTTTTAAAAATATGCTTGACCAGCTCAGTGGTACTGCACCTTCCTTGCAAGTGCAAGGTCCTGAGTTTGATCCCCGGGACTTAAAAAAAAAAAATGCTTGACCACACCAGTGAGAGAAAAAAAAGAGAGATGGCAAAAGCGTGGTAGGTGCACAATAAATACGTTTGTGCGACTGAATGAATGAATGAATGAAGAGAGAGAGAGATGGTAGAAGTCTAAATAATAGGAAACTGGATTAAAAATAGAAACAGAAAGAACAGAAACAAGATATGCATGGGAAATTTAGTGAAAAAGAAAACAGTGAAGGAAGAGAGATAGGTGAGGCAAGACATATTAAGTTCTAAATCAGCAATTCCAGTTTTATTATAAACTTGACTTGATAGTTTAACAAGTAGAGAGGCATTTGGATGAGAAGTAGTAGACTCTGAAGACAGGCAGATTTGCATTCTGATATGCACTCAGCTACTGTGTGGCCACAGACAAGTGATGCAACCTCTCTGAGCTCACTGCTTTCTTCTAAAACTTTTGATTTTGAAGTAATTTTTGATTTACAAGAAAGTTACAAAAACTGTACAGAGAGTTCCAGTTCAGTATATCCTTCCTCCAGCTTTCCTTAAAGTTAATCATAGTGTAAGTATGAAAACCAGGAAACTAACATAATTTGCAAGCCTTATTAGGGTTTCACCAGTTTTTCCCTTAATGTCTCTTTTTTTTTAGACAGTATTCAGTATCCTATAGAATCCCATATTGCACTTAGCAGTCATGTCTTCTTATCTCCTCTAGTCTTGATAGCTCCTTGATTTTCTCTTACCTTCCATGACCTTGACACTTTCTGAAGAGTAAAATGGCCCTAAATGTGGAATTGCCTGACACTGGTTTCATAATTAGATTTGAGACAAGAATGCCATAAAGATGATGTCATACCCTTCTCAGGGCATTGTACATATCAGGGGATATACACTGATACTCTTATTACTGGTCTTGTCATCCTTGATTGCTTGGTTGAGATTGTGTCTACTACTGGTTTTCCGCCACTATTCTATTTTTCCCTTGGTAATTAATAAATACGTTGTGCAGTTTCTTTGAGATCATGCAAATATCCTGTCTTTTATCATATTTACTCTCACCCAATTATTTTAGAACTCATCTGTGCTTTTTGCCTGTAACAATTATTACTGTAGGAAATCTAATGGTTATTTTCTTTTTCCTCATTCTTCCTACGTTTGCTAATTGGAATTCTCCGATAACTAAGAGCTGTACCTCCTGCTATTCCACCACACTGGCTGACTAATTTAACATTTATTCATATTAGTGGATTCAGGAATATTTATTTTACTCTATGGGTCAGAATCTAATGCTGTCATTCTTATTTTGTTGTGTAAGCTTCACTTTCTTCATCTCCAAAACAGGCATAATGCCAATAGTCATAAGAATTAAATGAGACTAAATATGTGAAAATGTCTGATCTAACATACCTACTATATAGATGCAATCTTTTTCTTGCTCTTTCTTTTCAGGATAAAAAGCTGTGTTAATTTGGAAGCAAGAGTATTTTAAAAAGGTGAAAATCTGTAATAAATCTTTTTAAATGTAATGTAGCTTTTCTAGCGTAAGGTATACAAAGCAACTAGAATTTAGCCATCTTAGGTTTGTCTAGTGGAGTTTATTTGGGATCTGCTTATAATGACTGTTTAAGAATGATTTTTAATTAGCATACCTATAATTTGTATAAAAATACATGTTTAAGAATACTTGAAAACAGACTGTTCTCTTAAGTAGTTTAAGTGTTTTCCCAGAAATCTTGTTTATGTTCCAAAGTTGCTTAGCTAAACTATTTTCAGAGATAGTCCAAAGCAAGCCTCAACCCAGCTGTGGGTCATATCATCACTAGCTCTGAACTAGTCATATCATTGATTCATCTTTGATTCCCAAGGTTACAGAGGTGAGTGGAAGAAATCCAAGTTTAATTTAAAATTAGTTTTTAAAAGTTCTGGCAATTCACTTTTAAGTTTAGTTCAAATTTTTTAAAAAGGGACAAGAATAGGGTCCTAAAGATGTGGGTGTGAGTAGATTTAGAACTTTAAAATAATTCACAAAATACAGTAAATGCACTAATAAAATCACTCAATTTATGGGAACTTTCATTTTCAGTTCATTTTTATCAGTAAGGAAAATCAAAAATACCATTTTTTAAAAAATAACTTTTGGTCAGTATAGTTTGCAAGCTCTCATGCAGACTCCCAGAGATGCTTATTCAGCTTGGGGTGGGAACAGGAACCTGCAGTTTCAGCAGGTTCAACTCCTAAACCCCATAACATGCTCCATCCTAAGTGTTCCCAGACTCCACCTACACTTGTCCTCTTCAGAACTGGTTTCTGGCTGGGTCTCAGAGACTCTGAAGTGACTTTCTGGGGCTGAAGAGATCCACAGGATACAGAGAGTGGAGGGGGTGATCCAAGTCCCTCAGTGAATAGCTTCATGGTTCTCCATGCATGGAACTCCAGGTGTGTTGGGTTTTAACTTTCTGGTGAGGAGTCCTGATAATGGGACAGGGAGTCGGCTAGACACATGTGGCAAGGGATCGTGTCAAAACACCAGTGTTAAAAACACCAGTGGGAATGGGTAGAGGAGAGATTAAGGGTTGTGTGCCATTATTAGAAAGGAGAAGGACTGGTGTACTTGGCAATGATAGGAAAGGAAGATAGGGTCAATTAGGCTTAAGGGCAGGTGGGTACAGTATGAAGGAAAAAGTGTATTGTTGAGTTTACTGCCTGGAAAGAAAAACCACCGAGATGGAAGTGGCAAGACAGAGAGGAATATGAGACATCAGTGACAGATAAAGCTAAGAGAAAAATATGCCTAAAAATCACAAGTGGCACTTCAAATACAAAAACACCCAAGAGTAGATCCTTACCTCATTAAATCTCATCACAAGGTCTTCAAGGGCATTGTGCTCTCCATTATGAGAGGTGAGAACTGATGCTGAGATGGACGCTTTGAGGCAGGGCAGGGACCTCTGGCATTCTGGGGTGCTCAAGTCCTGGGTTAAGAAGCAAAGGTAGTCAACTGGCAGGACCCTTCGGTAAATATTCTGCTCCTGTTCTGTTAGGATACTGGCGACTTCCTCTGGGAACTGGATGAGGGGCTGTAGATTGATCAGTTCCTTGCTGATCCCAGCTGAACTTGAAGGGAGGGCATTACAATTGGCCATAGAGGTACCTGGTTGGCGTTCTGAAATAGAGCAATGAAAGTCATGCTTACACCAAAGTTGGTATTCCCTGATAGGCAATACTTACTTGAGAGCCATTCAAAGCCTTGTTGGTTTCTTAGTCAAATATTTTGCTTGAATAGTTCCATACTATATTTGTTAGGGAGACCTTCCTGATGTCTGTCTGTCTGTTCTCCCTCTTCACCTCACCTATGTGTGTGTGTGGGGGTAAAGCTTAGCTTTCCATTTTTAGAAGTTGCATTAATGTAGCACATAATTCTCTGACCAGCTTTTACACTTTGTAGAGTACCATTTGCTTCCTTATCCTTATCAGAGTGAAAAAAAAGCATGGATGTGGACACAACCAAGTAAAATGGAAGAGCAAAGAAGGCCATATACTTAATGCAAACACACAGGAGACCCGGGAACCCAGGGACCCTCTGCCCAGAAGATTTCAAACCTTCAGGGTATCATCAACTCTATACCCTTCAACAACTGATTTCACTGAGGTCCATTTGGGAGTTTGTAAGAATAGATATGCCTAAAAAAGTAAGGAAGAATAGGTAATAAGATATATCTAAATAAATAAATCTTACTCACTAGTCTACAGCTGGTGGCAGAAGGATGAAGGAGAGAAGGTGGTGGGTGCATTAGAGAGAAGTACCAAAGGCAGGGATTCCTAGGCTCAGAATGATTCCCTTAATTAGAAATACTGTACATGCTTTCTCTTTTTCTTGACACCCTTCCAGTCTGCCTCTTATTTTATTACCTACAACTCATTCATTCATTCATTCATTCACTCATTCATCTACTTAACCATCCACCCATTCATTCATTCATTCATTAACTCATTCAACAAGTTTTGAAAAATCTATGATAAACCCTGGAATAGAATTTCCCAAGGTATGATCTTCAGAAGACTGGTATTTGGGAAAAACCAAAACAAAACAAAACAGTTTTGTGGTCTTCTAAGCTAGGGAAATGCCACAGATGCATATCACACATTCTCTGCCTGGAGATGCATGCGGCATGCTGGTACACTGTTACAGGCTCTGAAGAGTCTTCCGGAAAGGACCCATTTACATAAGCTTAACCTAGTATTTTCCAGAGCTCCACTTTTACAATGTCTGTGACATCATTCTATGTAACTAGTACACTTGGAACCCCTTCAGGAAATGCTGCCCTGGGGGCCAAGCTGCCCTCAGTCTTTATCCAGGGTACATCTTTCTTCCCTGTAGACCCTTCTGGGGTCTCCTTAACATTCCTCACACTGCTGCAGGAGGGCCATGTGCTATTTGCTCACAACCTTCCTTACATCCCTGCTTTGCTTACAATGCCTTTGCTTACAATGCTTACAATGCTAAAATAAAACCTGTCTGCCACCTACCTGTCTTCAACCTGGACACCAGGAAACAGAAAGTTTATAGAAGGACTTTCTTAACACTCAGACCTCAATATTCCTAGATATCTTTTTGTATCTCCATTGCTGAAATATTTGGAACTATCACTCCAAATGGCCCAGTTTCCAAGTTAATAAGCTCTGAAGCCACCATTCCTGAATGTGTCCTCCCTATTTCCCCACTATCAAAACCACAGCAACCACTGCGTTGATGTGGCATCTCTGTGAATGGTCTGGGCTCTTTTTCTGCTCAAGTCATCCTAACCTAAGCAGCCCAACTGTCTCTGAAATATCAGAAAAGAAATGTTCTTGATATTTACTGAATAATTGAGCTACTCCCTTTCTAAGGAATGCTTTCACTACAGTCCAAAAAGAATTTTGAAGAGAAAGCATTAAAATTTGAGCAAATTATCACAAATTTGAGACACACAAGCAAAGCCACCCCCAGCCCCTAGGAGGAGCCTTCCAGGCCACTGTATGACAGCCACCAGCTCAGAGGAGGTGAACCATGATGGCACCAGCATCACACCTCTCCCCCTTGAAAAGAGAAGACACGTAAACAAGTCTCAAAACCAGACTTCCAGATCACCTAAAGCAACCTCAAAGGGAAAGGAAATGGAACACTCTGATACTCAACCACCTGGACTCCCTGAACTAGCAACAAAAGAGGATCTGGAAAATATGAAATCAGAAATAATTTCTCAGATAACAGGAGAGATTGTGCCCATAGGGCAAGACATGATTAATAAATCTACACAGGACACAGATAAAAAAATAGAGGAGCTAAGGAACATGATGGAATCCCAAAGTAGGAAAGAAACAGAATCCATAAAACACATGCAAACAGATTTCCAGGAGATCAAAAACTCCATTGAAAGTCTACACAGCAGAATGAGCCAATGTGAGGACACAATTTCAGACATAGAAGATAAGATTGCAATTAGTGACCAGGAAAAGAAAAATTTCTTTACAATAGTAAGGACCATGAGAAATCAATCCAGCAGCTGCTAGACGATGCAAAGAAGAATAACGTAAGACTGATCCAAGTCAGTGAAGAAACAGGAGAGAGTGCAGATGACATTAAAAAAAAAACTGTTCACAGAAGTGATGGCAGAAAACTTCCCAAGCAGGGGAAAAGAACTTGACATACAGATACAGAGGCATATAGGACTCCAACTAGCCTTGATCAAAAAAATCTACACACAGGCATATAATTATTAAGATTCCAGAAACCCGACAGAAGAAAAAAATTCTATAAGCAGTTAGAGAAAAGAAGCAATCAAATACAAAGGAAAGCCCATCAGAATCACAGCAGACTTCTCAACACAAACCCTCAAGGTAAGAAAAGCTTGGAGTGATGTATTTCAAGCCCTAAAGGAAAACAGCCTCCAACCCAGATTGATGTACCCTGCAAAACTATCTTTCAAAATGGATGGAGAAATAAGATATTTTCATGACAAAGAGCACCTTAAGAATTTCATGAATACCAAACCAGCATACCAAAAAATTTTAGACGATATCCTAGGAAAAGACAACGAGGATCACAATCCCAGGAAGTCCAGCAGAATGAATCCATTGGGCATGACAATAAATTTTTAAAAAAGGGGGAAAATCCAAAACAAAGAAAAAGTCATGACAATGATAAGTCAATACATATCGGTTATAACCATCAATGTTAATGGTCTCAATTCACCAATCAAAAGAAATAGACTGGCAGAATGGGTCAAGAAGCAAGACCCAAAAATATGCCACATACAAGAAACACACTTAATTAAAAAAAAACTCATAGACTGAAAGTTTAAGGGAGGAAAACAATACTCCATGCGACAGGAACCTGAAAAAAAGCAGTAGTTATCGTTTTTGCAGATCAAGTGGATTTTAAACCAACATTGATTAAGAGGGACAAGAACACTACATCCTTATAAAGGGAACAATCCAAGAGGAAGAGATGACACTCATAAATATCTATGCACCAAACACTAGTGCACCCAACTATATAAAACAAATACTAACGGACATGAAAAGTCATATATGCACTAATACAATTGTAGTGGGGGACCTCAACACCCCACTGTCACAAATAGATAGATCACTAGACAAAAAATAAGTAATGAAATACTAGAACTCAATCGAACTCTTGAACAAATGAACTTAACAGATGTTTACAGAGTCTTCCACCCCACAAAATCAGAATACACATTCGTTTCAGCTGCACACAGGTCATTCTCCAAAATAGACCATATACTCACTCATAGAACACGTTTAAGTAAGTGCAAAGGAACTCAAGTTATCCCCTGTATATTATCAGATCATAGTGTGATGAAATTGGAGATCAATAGCAAAAGGAACTGCAAAAATTTCAAAAACACATGGAAATTGAACGACACATTTCTGAATAACCAATGGGTCACAGAGGAAATTAAAAAAGAAATCAGACAGTTCCTACAATTAAATAACAATGACAATACAACATATCGGAATTTATGGGATACAATGAAAGCAGTCTTACTAGAGAAATCCATAGCAGTGAATACTCATATCAGGAAAACAGAACGAGGCCAATTAAACAACCTGATGCTGAACCTCAAGCTTCTAGAAAAAGAAGAGCAGGACAAACCCAAGGTTCACACAAGGGAGGAAATTATAAAGATCAGAGGAGAAATCAATGCAATGTAGACTAAGAGAATGATACAAAAAGTCAATGAAGCTAAGAGTTCGTTCTTCGAAAGAATAAACAAAATTGACAAATCCTTAGCCAACCTTATGAGAAAAAGGAAAGCAAAGGCCCAAATCTATGCAATGAGGAATGAAAAGGATGACATTATAATGGACCCAGCAGAAATCCAGACGATCATCAACACCTACTTCAAGAACCTATATGCTAATAAGATGGTAAACACAGAAGAAATGCACAGATTCCTAGATGCATATGAATTACCAAAGTTGAACGAAGAAGACCTAAAAATTTTAAATGACCCAATAGCAATCAATGAAATTGAAAATGTAATTTAAATCTTACCAACTAAGAAAAGCCTGGGTCCTGATGGCTTCACTGCCGATTTCTATAAGACATTTAGGGAGAAACTACTGCCACTACTGTTTAAATTCTTCAATGAAACTGAAAGGGAAACAATACTCCCAAATTCATTCCTGGAAGCAAGCATCACCTTGATCCCCAAAGCAGAGAAAGACCCAACTGAAAAAGAGAACTAGAGGCCAATCTTACTAATGAACATAGACGCAAAAATCCTTAATTAGATACTGGCAAATAGAAAGTAGAAGATCATCAAGAAGATCATACATCCTGATCAAGTGGGATTCATCCCAGGGATACAGGGATGGTTCAACATAC